TAACTGGGAAGAGGTAATGCAGTCCAGTACTCCAAAAGGAAAGGACGACCGGAAGCTTTGTGGTTGGACCCCTCCTACACTTTGCCCTATGTGTTTCTTTTACTTTGCCAGATTCTAATTTGTAATATATCCTTTCACTGTAATAAAACTAAGCATAGAGCTTTCCTGAGTTCTGTGAGTCATTCTAGCAAATTATCAAATGTAAGAGTGGTTGTGAGGACCCCTGAGTTTGTAGCCAGCCGATGTGAAGTGAGGGTGGTCCTGGGGAACCCCCAATTTGTGGCTGGTATCTGAAGTAAGGGCAGTCTTGTGGGAACTGGTCCCTCTGAGTTTGCAGTTTGGCTAACTCAGCATTTATCTTTATTAAAAACTTCAAAAGTCTTGAAAGATAATCCATACCAGGTAACTAAATTTAAAGGTGCCCTGGTGGCTCAGTGCTTAAGCACTCGACTGCTAATCAAAAGGTTGGTGGTTTGAACCCACCAGCCACTCCATAGGAGAAAGATGTGGCAATCTGCTTTCTTAAAGACTGCAGCCTTGGAAACCCCATGGGGCAGTTCTACCCTGTCCTAAAAAAAACCCACTGCCATCAAGTCGATTCCAACTCATAGTGCTATGAGTCGGACTCTGTCCTATAGGGTTGCTATTGAGTCGGAATCTACACCACAGCAATGGGTTTGGTGTTTGGTTTAATGAAACTTAGATGCCACGTTACTGATTTAAGTAAAATTTTATATATTCAACGGAAGTGCCAGCTTACCAAGTTTTGGGGAAAAAAGTCAAGAAAAACAATTCAGCAGCTTACTACATTTTCTTCTGGCAACACTGGCCAAAGTTCCTCTTTGAGCAAAAGGAAGACCCTACCTTAAAAAGCAGAGGCAACGTGAATATGAGAAAAAAGGAAAAAAAAAATGTTACGTCAACTTTAAGGTTACTTTAAGTCAGAATTTGCACTTTAAAGTTCCCAATATTTGGTTCAGATAAAGCAAAACTTTAAAATATAAGGCGAACGGGAAGTGAAATCTGATTATTGCTACTAACCTTAGACGCATCTGATTTCAAAACCAAAATCAAACCAGGCCTAAAGATTAGCTCTGGTTCTGAGGTTCAGAAGGCAATATATTTATGTCAGGTATGACAGAAACCCACATTAGAGGAAGCTTTAAATAAAATTCTGTCTGTTTAGGTTTCTGACACTTTTCTAGGACTCTGGCTATTTCTCAATGTATCAGCGAAAATGTTAGAGGTTGAGTTTATTGGGCTAAAAGGTCACCTCCCACCCATAAAGTTGCTTTGAATACTATGAATAAAAAAAGTCATTCATTGAAAGATTTATATAATATAAAATCTAACATAAATACACAATTGCAAATATCATTGTAGTTATTTAGATCAGGTTTTTAAATGAGATAGTGCCTTTAAATATGACTTTCATATCCCACCATCCACCACCATGCATTCATCCATTCATCTGTTCATTCAGACACACATACATTCGAGTAATGTAGAGGTAGAGATGGGAGAAGAAATCACTGAGGTGGATGTCAGGAGGTAAGGAAAGGTAAGATTGCCAACTCTTGTACAGAAGGGATGAAGAAAGAAATTAACAGATTAGGACAGGATGGGAAGACAACCTCCACAAGTCTGTAATATGTGCTTGACTGAGGGAAGTTCGGCACCGATAGTTGAATCTATCACTATAACAGACGTGCACCTATAGGCAAAGGGTTGTAGGCTCTCCTTTATTATTAATAAAGCAATTTTATAGTCCTTTTCCATGTACAAAGCATTTAATATCCATTATCATATTTAATCCTCACAGCAACAGTGTGAGTTAGCAGTGTTCCCATTTTACAGATGAAAATACTGAGGCCTCAGGGATATCATACAACCAGTAAGAAGGCAACAGAGGCAAGACTCAAAACCCAGATCTTCTTTAAATCAGGTGCCACAATATTATCACAGTCCAGTTAAGCCAGACTTATCACAGAATGTCAAAACTGGAAGGGAGCTTAGAGATCAAGTCTAGTCCTCTCATTTATAGGTGTTGGGCCCTGATTTGCCCCAGCTAGTATATAACAGAGGTGGGATCACACCCCTGGTTTACTGACAGTATTCAGTCTTTCCAGTCTATTACCATGCCTCAACATGAAAGAAACACTAATGATATACATATGAATCAGCACTGGATCAAACAGCAGAACAGCTATTCCCTTTGAAACTACGAGGACCCTGCTGGCAGCAATACTTCTCCCCTACTCCCAGGAATCTTATGGCTTGGAGAAATTAAAATAAGTACCTCCACAAAAACAGGACTGCTAGAATAATCCATTCAGAATTGCTGGCCAATATATGCACATTGTATACCTACTCTGTCAAATCTATTAATAATTTCTTCACAGGAAAAAAGTTCCTATACATTTAATCAGACACTATATGAGTGTGGTTCTTACCTGAAGTATACTTATTATTGGCTTATATGGTTACATAAACAGTCAGATTTAATCCATCTAACCAACATTTGCTGAGAGCCAACAAAGTAGCAGTTACTGCTCTAGACATTCATTCATTCATAAGACTAAAATAAATCTAAGAGGCTTCGTGATATTGGCCTAACTCGCAAGGCTCTCAGTTTTATCCACATGGAATGAACTACTGTCAAATAAACTTAGCAATTTCATGAAAGACACTTATCTCAACAAACCTGTTAGGCAGGAAGTCACATCACATCCAGCAAGTATGCAATATATAGAACCAATACAATTCTGAGGAAAGATAACTTATACTCCAAAGGCTGTTTTGTTCTGGAGTGGGAGCTACAGGGAGGAGCCACAAGTAGGTGCTTAATAAATGCTTCCTGAGTGACTAAATGAACTTTTCCTGGCCCTTAGTAATGATCCTATGAGGTTCCACGAAGAAAAATAGCTCACTAATCTTCAAGGAGCAAGTACAAAACAATTCAATATGAATATTGTAATTCTGAATTTTGTCACCTTCATCCTTGGCCTTTGTCACTTGTAGAGTTCCACTGGCAGACGCCAAGGTAGTGGGGGAGCCAAGAGCGTCTGGAAGCTCCCTGTTATATATGCATCAAGATTCCAAACTTAACTCTGTCAACCTAGGAACCCAAGGGAGAAAAAAAATCTTCAAAGAGTTACAGAAAAGTTATTAAGATTTAGGAAAAATGACTGCAGAAAGTAGTGATTCACTCTGTGCATCTGAGGGTAAAGCTCCTTTCCCTCATCCTTGTAGGAGGAGAAAAAACCCCAAACACTCTGAGCCTGAAGCAGGCAAGAGAGTGCTGCCCCTGGATGCTCAGAGCTTCTCAGGCCATGGAGCAACCTCTACCTCAGGGAACAATTCCAAAAGTGACCTTATTGAATCCACTACAAAAGATGAGATTTTGTTCTTTAAAAGTACTCTGATGTAAAGTGTGGCCGGACCGCCAATTTACAATGATCCCAGATTCTCCAGGGTTTTCTGCTGGAGAGCTACACAGTATCTAAAGATACACCTGGTTCTACCTTTTCTTTTTTTCCTTAAATTTACCATATCATCCTAAGATTATAACTAATTTAAAAGCTGATGTGTTTCCACATAATCTCTACCTGGGCTCCTACAGCCAGATCCAAGTTCTCTGCATGAACACTGGGAACATCAGAAAGTCTTAAAAATACTAAAAACAACAGAATTTATTCTGATACTACTAGGTCTGATATTCTTCCCGTGGAATAGCTGCTTTCCTCCCTCTGATCAGTCCTACTGCAGTACCTACCCTCTGAAGTGCAACCCAAGTGGTTCTTTAAGTCTTCCTTCAAAAATCAGTATCACTCCATTACTTACATGGAAGGACAGAGAACACAACTCCCTGCAGGGAAAAGTGCCCTTTCCCCTGCTGCCCAGGGACAGCTGCTGGCCTTTCTGAGGCCTTTATGGAATGGCTTCCAAGTTTCTTTTAGCTTCTTGTCCAAAAATCTTTATGTGCTGGTCAATAAACACAGCATACATTTCTGGTTACAAGTACATACCACCACCGGAGCAGAGTTTGTAGCAGGTATTTGGAGAAATCACACTTTGCCCTAATAATTCACGCCTGGTAGTGCTAGATGGTCTACAGAGTGAGTGTGCCCCCACCCAACTCCTCACCTTTAATCAAGGCTTTCCTTGCAGCACTTGACCCCTCGCTGTTCTGGCAGCTGGAGATCACTCCAACAACTCCATGGCTCTGCTTCTAACATAATGCCCTGTCAAACACACCCACCCACCCACACACACACACACTCTTATTGTTTTAACAGAACAGATCATCTGTGAGGCCCAAACTACTCTTTCACAGTCACAGAAGGTGCCAGGAATTCTGGTCCCTGAAGCTCCTCAGATAAATATTGCTCAAAACCAGGATTTTTAATGACCTTCTTACCCAAAAGATTAATGAGTTTGGGCTATTTTGCCTGAAAACACTTGAATCTACTTCCCAGAATTTTAATTCAATCAACATATCTGTGTATTGTATCAGCGTGAATTTTTCAATAAATCACAGACACTTGTCTTTTCATATATTTGCAACGGGTAAATTTGCTGCAAAAGACCTCTTTAAAGTGTTAAAAAGGAAAGATGTCACCCTGAGAACTAAGGTGCACCTGACCCAAGCCATGGTGTTTTCAATCGCTTCATATGCATGTGAAAGCTGGACAATAAGTAAGGAAGACAGAAGAAGAATTGAAGGATTTGAATTATGGTGTTGGTGAAAAATACTGAATATACCATGGACTGCCAAAGGAATGGACAAATCTTTCTTGGAAGAAGTACAGCCAGAATGCTCCTCAGAAGCAAGGATAGTGAAACTTCATCTTGCTTACTTTGGATATGTTATCAGGAGGGACCAGTCCTTGGAGGACATCATGCTTGGTAGAGGGTCAGTGAAAAAGAGGAAAACCTTCAATGAGATGCACTGACTCAGTGGCTACAAGATGGACTCAAATATAACAATGATTGTGAGGATGGTGCAGGACCAGGCAGTGTTTCATTCTATTATACATAGGGTCGCTATGAGTCGGAACTGACTTGATGGCACCTAACAACAAAAACAACGTATATATACATATATTTAAAAGCTTCCGCATTAACTTTCAATGCTTAAAAGTCAAAGAATTTCCTTTCTCTAGATCCCATAAGTCATAACTGCTAAGTCATAACTGCAACCATACAGGCTCAGGAGTCATTCTGTATAAAAGAACAAACTTTTTATAAATCAAATAATTCTCCTCTAGGACAAAAGAATCAGCACAAGCTCTGGGGTCTTGGCTAGTCTAGGCAGAGAGGAAGCACTAAATAGAAAGGACAAAAAAAAAGAGCATTAAGACTGGATAGCCCTTCAAACACAAAATATCCAGAGGGATGAGGAATGGAGGGCCGTGCAAGAGAGGAGCAAAAGTCATGGCTTGGATTTACTCTTGGGTGGCTGTCAGTATAAGGTATCTGAAAGAATATCTATCCAGATTGCAGAAGAGAGAGGTCCCAGTATTCCTGGAGAGACATGGCTGCTACAATCAGTGTAAGAGTAGGGAGTGAAGACACATAGGTAGTCAACTGGTTGAAAGCTGAGTGTTACCTATAAAACTCAAGATAACAAAAAGCTTCTTTGATTTGTAAACTTGCACTCATAAATACAACCCCACAAAATAGAATTCAGTGCATATTTCAATACGTCTTTTCAACACTGATACACACTATTCTTCCCTTCGGAATCAGTGCCATTAAATAGAAATGTACTAAACAGTCATTTTCCAAAGCAACACTACAGTTGGGAACAGGTATTCTGAGCCTAGTGAATAATACTGCTATAAGGAGCATACGGGTTAGGATCTGACAAGGCTCTTACTGAGGATTGCATCATAGTAGGGACTGAAGACCATCTTGTTATAGTTGACCAGGCGAACAAATTTAACAGCAACTTCCTCCAGCTCTTTCTGAATTGGACCCAATCCGCCAGGTACTGTGGGAAATGGCTTCTGATGCCCTGAGGCAAGGTAGGTTTCTAAGAAGGTCAGGATTCGGGAATCTGTGATGGAAAAGAAACTTTGTGGTGGTTTCTCATTCAGGGTGCATTTACAAACTTCTGATTATTAAACATCACCTCTTCAGGGATGTCCTCCCTGACCAGCCCCCAGGCCAGAAACCCGTAGCACCTGCACTTCTCAACATTCGTTCCACTTGTAATGCTTTGTCTCCCCCTCTAGATGGTTAGTTTCATAAGGGCAGGAACCTTGCCCATCTTGTTCATCATGCTCTCCCCAGCACCCAGCACGGTGCCTAGCAAGAAGCCTGGCTATTGTCTGAAGACAACATAAGAAAAAAGGGAGGAAAAATAAAGCAGGCATTACGAGTTCGAAAAATAAAAGAGATCATTGTAGCACTGTTGGTTTGTATCTACCTTTTCCTGCTAAGCTCACATGAAAGGGGCATGAGCTTTCTTCTTTAATGCTTATAATGGAAGACCACAGAAGACATGGGCATTTGTGAACTTGTCCAACTGTGAGGAATAATTTAGGTTGACCCTTTCTTCAGCTCATTCCCCCTGCAATATTTTTGCACTCTCTTGCATATCTTCATCAGCCAAAAAAGATTTAATTGAGCCATTACTTCTTGCAGATTTTACTACAAAAACAATTGTTGCTAGCTGCTGTAGAGCTGACTCAGGCTCATGGGAACCCCATGTATGTAGAATAGAACTGCTCCATAAGGTTTTCAAGTCTGTGACCTTTTGGAGGCAGATCACCAGGCCTGTCATCCTAGATGCCTCTGAGTGGGTTTGAACTGCCAACCTTTTGGCTAGTAGTCAAGTGCTTAACCGTTTGTGTCACACAGGGACTCACAAAAAAAAATAATTAAAAAAAAACACTCTTTGCCGTCGAGTTGATTCTGACTCATAGTGACCCCACAGGACAGAGTAGAACTGCCCCATAGGGTTTCCAAAGAGCGGCTGGTGGATTTGAACTGCCAACCTTTTGGTTAGCAGATGAGCTTTTAAACACTGCGCCACAAGGGCTCCACAAAAACAATAGGTACATTTATATTGAGTGGGTTTTTTCAAACTACATGTGCCCTGTCCTCTGCCCCTGCAGAGATTCTACTGCATTCCTAGTGAGTGGAGAATCTTCTCAGTTGCAAATGACTTAATCACACTGTAGTGATGAATCACATTCTCTCCTCACTCATCAGTACTCATAATCCCATCAAAAGCCCTCCTAGGTTCCTTTCGAAGGGCCTGTCTTCTAGCACACCTGAGAGCACACCTGTTGCCTGCCTCCCCCAAAACGTACCCATGATCCTGCGAATGGGGTCCTCGGGACTGGCCACGGCCTGGATCTGACCCTTGAGCACGGTCTCCTGGTCTGTGGTGAAGGGGGTGAACCCACACAGGGAAAGGCAGCTGCTCACCTCCACACAGACTTTCTCCCCAATGGTAGTCAGGGCATCCTTCAGATGGAAGGAGCTTGAGAAGACAGGGTAAGGAGAAGCCGGGGAAAAAAGGGCCTATGAATAAAGTGCATGTACAACCAGCTCAAACATTCCATGTCCTGACAAGAGTTACAATACCCAGTCAATGGACGTAGGCAGTCAAGGGAGAATCTGTTACTCTTCCCTGCCCCCAATCTCCCAGGCTGTGCGCACTGACCTTCTTTCACCCCCTCTGCAAGAAAGGACAGCAGGATGGAGAGGGCTCAGGTTATGACTTATTCTCCACACATTTGTGTGCTGAAATGGGCCTGGATTTGATTTAAGAACATCTTCAAATACCTCTGGAGCATGACTTAGGGGCAGTGCAAAAGAAATCAGAAATTGGATGGCTATGGGACAGAAGTGGGAGAATTTCCACTGGATACTCTTTTGTACCTTTTGATTTTTGAAACATGTGAGTATATTAACTATTTTAAGTAACACTGAAATTTAAAAGTTAAAAGCATTAGCACCTTGATTGCTTGGGCCCCAGGCTCTCCTGAGCGCTGGTGGGGAACCCAGATGTCTCGCAGTGCTGAGGCTGCGTTTCCCAGCACCCTCCTGCTTATGGGTATTCTGTGAGAAGGGAATTGCCTTTGTTCGCTGTCTAGATCCTTTGGACTGTGTAATTAGTTGAGAGTAAGGGAGCAAGCCCTGGGACTCACTTCCAGCACCAACTCTGGGCCGGCCCCCTGGCTACTGGGTGGATTTGGGAGGGCAGACCAGGCTCCTGGGGAAGCAGCTGTACTGGTTCCCCCTCATAGTTAACTTTGCCAGAGCAGCTCTACTGGGAGGGGACCTAGGTGATAGGCTAGGGATGCAAGTGCCTCAGGGGAGGCCTCACCTCAGCAAACACCCTCCTGGCCCAAGTCAAGACTACTGTACCCCTATTCACTGCAGTGTACACATGCATGCTTTGTGCAAACTCAGCAATAAAATCCCTCCATTTTGTAAGAATATGAATGTTTGGGGGGCATTTCCCTTGAAGATTCCTCTGAATTGGAACTTGTCAGATCCAATGCTTACTTAGAATCAATCAAAAATATTCTATAAATCATATAAATCACCGGACATGACTTGACTGCAGGGGTAGTTGCCACAGCCTGCACTTGCACAAATGTATTAGTGCTGATAAATAAAACAGTATATTTATACCCAGCACAAATTATCTCTGAGAAATGTGCAGAGGGCAGAAGACTTTCATCACATACATGCAACTCAAAGAATACAGCTTGCTTCTTTTTTCAATTGTTCCCTAAGGCTGTGTTTTTCAAACTGTGAGATGGTTGTGAAATCAGTTCAGTGGGTAGTAACCAGTATTTTTTTTAATGGAATAAAAGAGAACAGAAAATATCAGGATGCACTAAGCATAGTTAGGGTAAGTTTCATTTTGTGAGATTTTTTATTTCAGTTACTTATGTGTCTAAGTGTGTACTAGCTCACAGTGCAAAATGTATTTCTTATTGTGGGTCCCGATTACAAACATTTGAAAGTCGCAAGACTAGAAAAGCCTTGCTAACTCTAGTGTTGGTTCGAACTTTGACCCTCTGCTGAGTAAGTTGTGCTGGGGTCTTCACCAAATGAGCAAACAAGTTAGAGAGCAAGGTTTCCTCTAGGTTCCTAGGGAGTGGACCCCTCATCCTGCCTTAAAATGGGAGACCCTCCATTTCAGTCTGCTCTCGGCCACCTGCTGCCTCCCATCCATCCATTTATAAGTCCACTCCACAGCTCTTAGCCACTTACGGAAGATGCATATCTGTTAGCAGAATCTTGACAATCATCTTGAGTTTCTCAGCAAAATCAGCCTGGCTGGAAATTCCTGGGGCTGCCATGTTGAACGTGACCAGCAACACAGCCCCCAGGATGGTAAGTTGCTCCAGCTGGAGCTGGAGCTCTTGAAAGCGAGACTGGTCCATCAAAACTGTCTGTAACAAATATGAGAGAACAGTCATCACTGAGCTGTAGATTCGAGCTGGTCAGCAGGGGGCAGTGGGCCACAGCGCCTCCACATACTTCCATGGCTTCCCTCAAGATTTTCTAGAGTCATTTCAGAGCCATAACAGAGTCAAGTGTGAATCATTCTTCCATCTCAGAGTCCCTTCTTCCTTAGAAAGAGGGCGGTATAGCACACTGGTGAAAAGCATGAGACTGACCTAGGGGTAAATCTGGGCTCCTTCATTTAATAGCAGCATGACCCCATGCAAGTTTCTTCAGCTCAACTCTACTTAAAACAAGGATTCCTACTTAAAATGGCTGCTTTAAAGATGAAAAAAGATCATGTATATAAAGTGCCTGGCAGAGCCAACACTCAATAAACAGGAGTTATACTACTGGAAGGAGTCCCTGGGTGGTGCAAACAGTTAAGCACTCGGCTACTGGCCCAAACGTTGGCAGTTTGAACCCACCCAGAGGCGCCTTGGAAGACAGGCCTGGTGATCTGCTTCCGAAAGGCCACAGCCTTGAAAACTCTATGGAGCACAGTTCTACTCTGACACACATGGGGTCACTATGTGTCAAGAATCGACTCAGCAGCAACTAACAACATATCATTAGAAAGGAAAGAGTAATGAGGTACAGTCACATACTCATCCCACTTTGTCCAGTACTGTCTCCGTTTTAAAATTTAAAGTCTTGAGTCCTAGGAACCCCCTCAGTCCTAGGCAAACCAGGACAGCTGGTCACCCTATACAGAACATTTGAGGGAAACGGGGAGAAAATTTCCTAAGAGACTATACTTATTCACCTGGGTATCCCTCTCAGCACCCGGCAGAAAGGAGGCTCTCAAGAATGAAAAAAGAAAGAGCAAAATAAATAGTAAGTACGAAGAGTACGAATGACAGATAACAACCCAAAGCTACTCTGGAAAGCAGCCAATGAGAGCGTTTCCATGACTGCTCCTCCCATGCTTCTAGTCACTCCATGAAGATACCTCGGGGTCCTACCACACCAAAGTGTGGGATGAGGGAAACAGTAGCAGAAAAGCTGAGGAAATCTGGCTTCTGACCTGAGTTCTAACAGGTTAATCAAATGACCCTCTGGCCCGCTTGCTCTAAGAAACAGATAAACCAAATCAAGACATTAACAATTTGGTGCCTTAGCCCAGAATTCTTCTGAAGAAGCTAAAAGCTATATCCTCTGTAGTTGATAGGTCTGTTGAAGCATACGTGTCTTTTTATCAGCCTTTTTTTTTTTACTTCACTAAAAGGCAGTGTCCTTGCTTTATTGCATTCTGGCCTGCCAGAAGTATGCAGTACTTGAGCTTCGGGTCCAAAAGATTTCCAAGGATCAACTCTGAGAGGAGTAGTAGACATCTCTCCCCAGTGAATACACCATCTTCCCCAAAGCTGAGTATATTTTTAAGAAAAACCTCAACCTGGGAACTTCCCTTTAGGAGGGAAATGCCACTATTCAGAAAGGAACATAACCCTTCCCTTCCAACAGGCCTCCCTCCCTTAGATCTTCTTCCTGCACAAAACAGAAAACTCAGCAGCAAAGGTGAAACTTCTTGGAAGTAAAAATAAGGAAACTTAAATGAGACTGACATTTAGAGAAGTAGCAGGATCTGAGGCTAAAGAAGCCTGTGTGCCCTCAAAAAGTGGGGAGAAGTGGTGGTGGTGGTGGTGGTGGTTTCTACACACCAAGTCAGATACATACAGACAAAACAGGGAATCCCTTGTTAGTCATCCTCTTAAAGGAATACTACAGTTAGAAGTGATGACTGTGAAAAGCATAAATAGGACAAACCATAGCTAACAATGCAGAAACGTCAGAAGAGAAACTCGATAACTGGGAGCTCCTAAAAATCAAACACTTATGCCCCTCAAAAGACTTCATTAAAAGAGTAAAAAGAGAACCTACAAACTGGGAAAAAAATTTTTGGCTAAGACATATCTGATAAGGGTCTAATCTCTAAAATCTACAAGATACTGCAACACCTCGACAACAAAAAGACAAATAACTCAATTAAAAAATGGTCAAAGGATATGAATAGACACTTCACCAGAGAAGACATTCAGGGAGCTAACAGACACATGAGGAAATGCTCACAATCAGTAGCCATTGGAGACATGCAGATCAAAACTACAACGAGATACCATCTCTGCCCAACAAGGCTGGGACTAATCCAAAACACACAAAATAATAAATGTTGAAGAGGTTGTAGAGAGACTGGAACACTTACACACCACCAGTGGGAATGTATAATGGTACAACCACTTTGGAAAAAGATTTGGTGCTTCCTTAGAAAGCTAGAAATAGAAGTACCATATGATGCGCAATCCCACTCCTAGAAGTAAATGCTAGAGAAATAAGAGCCATCACACGAATAAACATATGCATACCCATGTTCACGGCAGCATTGTTCACAATAGCAAAAAGATGGGAACAACCTAGGTGCCCAACAACAGACTGGATAAACAAATTATGGTATATACACACAGTGGAATACTACGCAACGATAAGGAGCAGTGATGAATTCCTGAAACATCTTACAACATGGATGAATCTGGAGGGCATTATGCTATCTGGAGAGCATTACGCTGCGTGAAATTAGTTAGTCACAAAAGGACAAATACTGCATGAGACCACTATTCTACGAACTCAAGAAAAGGTTTAAACGCAGAAGAAAACATTCTTTGATGCTTATGAGGGTGGGGAGGGAGGGAGAGGGGTATTCACTGACAAGATAGTAGACAAGAATTATCTTAGGTGAAGGGAAGGACAACACACACTACAGGGGAAGGCAGCACAACCAGACTAAACCAAAAGCTAAGGCGTTTCCTGAACACATCCAAGTACTTTGAGGGACAGAGTACCTAAGGCTGAGGCCTAGGGACCACAGTTTCAGGGGACATCTAGGTCTACTGGCATAACAAAGTTTATTAAGAAAAGGTTCTGCATCCCACTTTGGTGAGTGGTGTCTGAGGCCTTAAAAGCTTGCAAACGGCCATTTAAGATGTATCAATTGGTTCCAACCCACTTGGAGTAAAGGAGAATGACGAACACCGAAGACACCAGGAAAATATTAGCCCAAGAGACAGAGAGGGCCACATAAGCCAGAGACTCCACCAGCCTGAGACCAGAAGAACTAGATAGTGCCTGGCTACCACCAATGACCACCCTGACAGGGAACACAACAGAGTCCTGGACAGAGTGGGAGAAAAGTGCAGAGTAGAACTCAAACTCACATAAAAAGACCTAACTTAATGGTCTGACAGAGACTGGAGGAACTGCCGAAATTATGGCCCCCAGACGCTCTGTTAACCCAGAACCTAAACCACTCCTGAAGCCCACTCTTCAGACAAAGATTAGACAGGACTATAAAACAAAAAATAATACACTTGAGGAATGTGCTTCTTAGTTCAATCAGATACACAAGACCAAATGGGTGGCTCCTGTCCAGAGGCAGGATGATAAGGCAGGAAGGGACAGGAATTGGTTGAATGGACACAGGGAATGCGGGGTGGAAAAGGGGAGTGTGCTGTCACATTGTGGGGATTGCAACTAATGTCACAAAACAATGTGTGTAAATTTTTGTATGAGAAATTAACTTGAGCTGTAAACTTTCACCTAAAGCACAATTTAAAAAAAAAAAAAAAGAAGAAGAAAAGCATACAAAGGAAAAACTATTGCTCAGTATATAGAATATACCATGGACTGCCAGAAGAACAAACAAATCTCTCTTGGAGAAAGTACAGTCAGAATGCTCATTAGAAGCAAGGATGGCAAGGCTTCATCTCACATACTTTGGACACGTTATCAGGAGACCAGTCCCTGGAGAAGGACATCATGCTTGGTAAAGTAGAGGGTCAGCGTAAATGAGGAAGCCTCTCAATGAGATGGATTGACACAGTGGCTGCAATAATGGGCTCAAGCATGACAATGGCCCAGGACCTGGTGGTGTTTCGTTCTGTTATACACAGGGTCACTTGAAGTCAGAACCGGCTCGACGGCACCTAACAACATTGCTTAGCATGGAAGGGAGAGCAATTTCTTTAGATAAAACTGGAAAAGCGGTATGGCTGTTACAGCTGTGGTTTTAATTAGATGTGTGAAACAGGATGGAAGTTTACCGACACAAATTGGGACTCTCACACATGGCTAGGATTGTAAAGATGATGCAGCTATTCTGGGAAATAGTTTGGCAAGTCTTCAAAATGTTAAACATAGGGTCATACCAGCAATTCCACCCCTAGGTATATATCCAAGAGAACTGAAAACACTGTCACACAAAAACTTGTACATGAATGTTCATAGCAGCATTATTTACGTAGCTGTTGTTGTCATTAGGTGTTGTTGAGTCAGTTCTGATTCATAGTGACCCTATGTACAACAGAACGAAACACTGCCCAGTCCTGTGCCATCCTCACAATCAGGTTATGCTTGAGTCCATTGTTGCAGCCACTGTATCAATCCATCTTGTTAAGGGTCTTTCATTTAGCAGCACTAGATAACTAAGACAGGCATTGATTGTGGATACAAGTAAAATGAAATCCTTGACAACTTCAATCTTTTCTTCATTTATCATGATGCTGCTAATTGGTCTAGTTGTGAGGAGTTTTGTTTTCTTTATGTTGAGGTGCAATCCATACTGAAGGCTGCAGTCTCTGATATTCATCAGCAAGTGCTTCAAGTCCTCTTCACTTTCAGCAAGCAAGTTTGTGTCATCTGCATGACGCAGGTTGTTAATGAGTCTTCCTCCAATCCTGAGACCCTGTTCTTCTTCATATAGTCCAGCTTCTTGGATTATTTGCTCAGCATACAGACTGAATAAGTATGGTGAAAGGATATAACCCTGACGCACGCCTTTCTTGACTTTAAACCTCGCAGTATCCCCCTGTTCTGTTCAAATGACTTCCTCTTGGTCTATGTACAAATTCCTGATCAGCACAATTAAGTGTTCTGGAATTCCCATTCATTGCAAAGTTATCCATAACTTGTTATGATCCATACAGTCGAATCCACACAGGTAAACATCCTTCTGGTATTCTCTGCGTTCAGCTAAGATTTATCTGACATCAGCAATGATATTCCTTATTCCACATCCTCTTCTGAATCTAGCTTGAACTTCTGGCAGTTCCCTGTCGATGTACTGCTGCAACCACTTTTGAATGATCTTCAGAAAAATTTTACTTGTGAGTGATATTAATGATATTGTTCAATAATTTCCACATTCTGCTGGATCACTTTCCTTTGGCATGGACACAAATACGATCTCTTCCAGTTGGTTGGCCAGGCAGCTGTCTTCCAAATTTCTTGGCATAGACAAGTGAGCGCTTCGCGCACTGCATCTGTTTCTTGAAACATCTCAATTGGTATTCCATCAATTTGTGGAGCTTTGTTTTTCGCCAATGCCTTCAGTGCAACTTGGACCTCTTCCTTCAGTATTATCTGTTCCTGATCATATGCTAACTCCTGAAATGGCTGAACATTGACCAATTCTTTTTGGTACGGTGACTCTGTGTATTCCTTCCTTCCTCTTTTGATGCTTCCTGCATCATTTCAATATTTCAACTCAAGGCTTGCATTTTCTTCTTCAGTTCTTTCAGCCTGAGGAATGCCAAGCTTGTTCTTCCCTTTTGGTTTTCTATTTCCAGGTCTTTGCACATTTCATTATAATACTTTACTTTGTCTTATCAAGCTGCCCTCTGAAAGCTTCTGTTATAAAAAAAGCTCAGCAGCACAAAAGAAATATAAGCAGTTAGAATACTCAGAAGTACTTACTTCAGGGAAAGGTCTCTGGAGGTGGTCCCATTTCAGAAGCTTCAGGTATGCATAATTCTGGACAGCAACAGGACTCAGCATGGTTGCATCTCCAGAGCCAGCAGCTCCTCCCGCAGCTGGCAGGGAATTTTTATACTTCTGATTCATAAGGTCATCTGAGGCTTCTTCTAGCCACTGAGTGACAAAGTCCAAGGAATCTGTGAAAAATACAACTGCGAACATTACTGTGACACTTAGGAGTTATGTTTCCTGGAATTACTTTAAGGAAGATCATTTTGGCACTGTGGTAAAGTGTAAAGTGTGGACTTTGGAATGAAATAGAACTAGCTGAGTGATCTTAGGCAAGTTATAAACACTCCGAATATCAGATTCCTAATACAAAGAAATTTACAAACACAACACCCACCTCACTGGCTGCTGTGAGGACTAAATAAGATAATGAATATAAAGCACCTACCTACGGATCACCACATACCAGACTATCAACAAACACCGGTTCTCTTCTCATCCATCCTGACCACTGCATGAGAGGTGATGACTCTAATCTGTGAGATGGCAAAAAGTCTTGCCTAGAGACAGATGGCATGAGTCTCCCTAGGTAAAGTAACCACTGCGCTGAAGCTGAGGCTTTTTCCTTGTCTTCTAGATCTTACTCTAGTTTGAATCTGGTTTACGGTCTGCCGTATAGGAAGTAAGAGCTGTCATGTGTTTGATATGTATTTATTACACAGAATTTACAGCCCTGTCCTGGGGAAACACTGAGGTGGCTTTAATCTGCCATCATGCTCCCTAAACTCTTCTAGGCTGAGAAACACACTGGGGACTCTGAGGGATACAAGAGAAAGAATATCTGACTCTTTCCTGGTTATTTGAGAAACAAATGCCTCTGTCATCCTGGGAGAGGTTGCAGCTCTGCCAGTGGAGGTCTCCTTAAAACCAAGTGGGCACCCAGGTCATGGCTGTAGTCTACTCTTTTGCTGATGCAAGAGGAGGCACCTTCCGGCTCCATCAGCACACTAACCCCACTGAGCTCTCAGCTCTGAGTCCTGGGCCTTTTAGCTCCACTCTCCCTCTAGCCTTCTGCAGACCAGCATTCTCTGTAGCCCACCAGTTTTGGGAAACTTTAGTACTAGACTCTGACACTTCCACTCCAGCACCCTGGATTCCAATACCTGGCTCTCATACTAAGATTATTCAGCTTGCAAAACTGTTCCAACTCCTAAAAAACAGTACAGTGTAATGGCTGAGATTGTGAGCTGTATGGTCAATCAATTCTGGTCAAAAATTTCTCTAAACCTATTTCCACGTGCGTAAAATGGGGTTTAAAAGTTGTGCCTCCTTCACAGGCTTACTGTGTGTGGATTATATACAATAATCCTGAAGCCTTTTGGGACTTAAGTCAATACAAGCCACTCTTGTTTTCTACTACTACTACTTCTACTCTGCTCTTTGAGGGCTCCTCCTGGCCCCCAGCATCTCCTCAGCCTTCTGTCTGGGGCTCGATGAACCAACTTCTCAGACTACCATTTTCATCTTGGGATCAGGAAAGTGAGAGGCTTAAAGGGAACTCATAACGAATTACATCTGAAGACTGCAATTTTCCCAGAACAACAGATGCTAATGCAGAGACAAAAGGGAACCCTAGAAATCCTACTAGGACTGTTTTTCTACAGTCATTTGAGAGGTTCATAAAAATGAGACTTTTTCTTGAGTGTGAAACCAGAGGATTTATGCATATAGAACAGAAGCAAAGTAAAATTTTCTGCTGAACTTCATAGGGAGAAGAAAAGTGAATTAAACTATTCACAAGAAGTTTGTTCTGTTTTTAAAATCAAGACCAAGAATGCAGTTTACTTCAAACTGTGTTTTTATTAAAAAACCATTTCTTTTAGTACTTCTTTGTTCTTTTTAATCTCTGTTCTTATATCCTACTCAAACTTCTCTTGTATGTCAATTAAGTTTTCTTTCCAAGGCTTAGCAACTCCAGAGGTATTCCTAAAATTTTACGTTTTTACTTCTTCAAATTAGACTACTCTCATACTAAAATTTCATTTTTGTTTTTAAACAATAGTCATTATGCAATAAGCTACAGTAACTGAAATGAAAAAACACAGACAATGAAAGAGCACCACAGAACATTAAACATACTTGGCTGCTTCTCCAAAAGCTCTTGAAACTTCTTCCTTTCATATTCAACTGACTGCTGCATGAGATGTGGCCTAATGCTAGTGACAGCAAAGTTCGCCATGTCCACTTTCATTAGGTCTAACACAGAAAAAATTGCCCTGAAAGAAAAGAGATGAACGGATTTAGAACTGGGCGCTTGTAAAATAAGCATCATTTTAAAAAGAATGAAGCGACCTGATTTGAGGTAAATCTTTTCATCTCAGAAAGGGTAGCAAGGTAAGTTAGAAAAGTCATGAGAAAAGTATTAAGAATAACAAATTTAGAATACATAAAAATTTAAATAATTTAAATGTTTGAAAAGGATAAAATTTTAAGCCCCTTTCTGTCCTTCCACTTACCTCCCAAGCAAACATAAGTCCCCCCGCCCCGCTGCCTTTCTGGCCCAGAACTCATTCCTTGGCTCTGAATGGGCCCTTGTGGCAGCCACAGAGGAAGGAAAGAGCCTAGGACCCAAGGAGAAGGGTACAGAGCTTATCACCACAGCTTCCACATTCAAATAGGTTAATTCACTTTTCTAAGAAAATTAACTGTCTCTTCTCTCCCTACCCAGTCTCTCTTAGTTTTAAGGTATGTTTAATGCTCTGGTTCTGAAGGTATAATTTCTAGTTCAGACTCTGAATGTGCCCAGTGATTCCTTCAATGCTGTCTGTCATATACCATTAACCACTCTTGTCAGCTGTCAAGAGCTGTTGGTGGCCTACTTGCAGGAGGTAGTTAGTTAAGAACCCAAGATGCAGGTTTGTGTGTGGCCTACACAGAAGTAAGAACAGGATCAAATGTCCTCTGAAGTCCCCTGAAGCCCTCTGGGACTGGCCATACCATATGTGACAGAATAAACTCACCTACACACAATGTAATTATGTATGGGAAATGATACACTGAGGAATAATTAAAGCCTTCTTCAAATTCTGAGCCCTGCCCCTGTCACTCTGTCCATCTCCCAAACACACGGGGTAGTCCATCTCTCTTGGAGGGCATTCTGCCCTTCCTTAGAGGCATTTCCAACAGTTCCTCAAGTCCATCTACAAGAAACCAGAGGCTTTTAGAAACTGCCCACTGGTGGCCCACTAACTGGAAGTAACCCTCAAGTATGTTTTGTGCTCACACAGTGCTTTTGAAAAATCTGGATTTCCAGTTTCTCTTGAGAAATCAAAAGATAATCTGGATTTCCAGTTTCTTCTTGAAAAACCAAACCACAGGCCCATGATCCATCATGGCCACAATCAGCTAGAACTAAGTGGCCACTGCTGTCTCCTTTATACAGGGCAGGTACTCCCAAGTTTGCCACAATTCCCTGAGTCCTCTTTATGCTTTATAATAGGAATTTGAGTTTGCTACAAGATATTTCCCCAGAGGACTCTCTTCCAAGCAATTCCTCATCTAATTTGATTATAGATTTTAAGTTCTTATCCACTATTTTTTTTTTCCTAATGTCTAGCACCATGCCTGGCACATAAAAGGTGCTCAATAAAAGATGTGGCACGAATGAATAAACTAAGGACTATTCTTAGTGGGTCTTTTTTAACCTTATAACACAGGGCATTTTTGTATGTACTAAAGAAATGAGAAAGAATATGCCATCTGTTCTCTTTCATGATGGACATCAAGAAAGAAAATGAAATTTTTATTGCTTACAAAACACTTATAAAACAACTTAGTAACATGCAATGAGAGTCTTAAAACTGTTCATACCATCTGATATGGTAATCCTGTTTTTAAGAACCTATCTTAAGGAAATAACCTAAAATACAGAAAAAATATTTTGTGCACAAAAATATTCATTGTCCAGTTCAACAGTAAATAATAATAAATAATCTCATTGTCCATCTTAAGGAGAAGCAGTTAAGTAAATTTATGCAAATAAATATTTTACAGCCATTAATAATGCTTATGGGCAGTTTCAAAAAATAACATAAGTTGTTTATGAAATGGCAACATGAGAGATCTTGTGGGGTTAGAACTGTTCAGTATCTTGACTGTTGAGGTGGATACATGAACCTACACGGGTGATAAAATTATATAAAACTCAATACACACATACACAAAGGCATACAAGTGAAACAGGAAATCTAAATAAAATCAGTCGATTGTATAATGTCACTGAATTGTACATGTAGAAACTGTTAGATGGCATATATTTTGTTATGTATATTTTCATCACCCATACTCACTGCTGTCAAGTCAATTTTGACTCGTAATGACCCTACAGGACATAGAAGAACTACCCCACAGGGTTTCCAATGCTGTAATCTTTATGGAAGCAGACTGCCACATCATTCTCCCACAGAGCCACTTGTAGGTTCAAACTGCTGTCCTTTTGGTTAGCAGCAGAGCACTTAGCCACTGTACCACCAGGGCCTCCTTGTATTTTCATCACAGTAAAATAAATTTTTTTTTAAATCAGTGGATTGTATCATTGACAATATCCAGGTTGTGATATTACAACTTTGTAAAATGCTACCACTGGGGGAAACTGGGCAAAGTATACAAGGGATTTCTCTGTATTGTTTTTCACAACTGCATGTGAATCTATAATTATCACAATTAGATTTTCAACTAAAAAATAATTCAAATGACATGATTATCATTAACAATGATAATGCTACCGGAAAAAATCAGGCCTGCAATGCCCACTGGGGGGTCTCAGGTTCAACTAAACATTCACACTCACAAGACTACCCTAGGCCACACTTGGCATTACCTACTCCAAGAACAAAGAACAGGAACACAGCTTGTCAACAGGGCAGCACCAGATATCCCTTTTCTACGGGAGTCACATTCACAGTCATGCAACAGATAGCTCAGACACAAGGAGAGCCATACTAGGAGGGTGCAAGAGGCACCTGGCTTAAAGCCTCATGTCCCACAGGAGCCAATATATTTTTAACAAATTCATCGCATGGCTTCCAGGGTCTCCAAGAAGGATACATCCAACTCTTACAGAGTTACCCCACTCAGGGAAGTCCAGAGTACGGTATCTCCATCAAGTACTTATAGCCTGCTATCGTTTCTTTCAGTCCAGATGCAATTTACTAACCAGGGGTCATTTTCCCCACATAAGCAATGTTGCCTAATGCAGCCCTGGTGACACAGTGGTTAAGCGGTAACTGGCCCTATTTCCAAAAAGTTCATATTCATAGGTACCAGAGGTTAGGATTTCAACATATCTTTTTGGGGACACAATATAATCTATAAAACACATGCACACATACTTAAATATATGTAAAAATAAAAAGCAAATATGATAAAACATTAAAAACTGGTAAATCTAAGTGAAGGATATATGTATGATTGTACTATTTTGAAACTCTTCTGTAGGTTTGAAGTTTTTCAAAATAAAAAGTTGAGGGAAAAAAGAAAGATGAAAAATATAGACGAAAATGATAACAGTGATTGTCTTTGGGTGTTAAAATTATGAGTGAATTTTTTTCTTCTTTCTACTTTCCTATATTTTACAAAATGTCTGGGTTTTATTTTTTAAAACTTATGAGTACCTAGACATAAAAACCCAAAACAAACTCATTGCTGTCAAGTCGATTCCAACTCATAGCAACCCTATAGGACAGAGGAGAACCGTCCCATAGGGTTTCCAAGGAGCGCTTGGTGGATTCGAACTGCCAACCTTTTAGTTAGCAGCCATAGCTCTTAACCACTATGTCACCAGGGTTTCCACCTAGACATAAGGAAGTCCAAATTTAAAAATAGGTTCTGCACTGGGTGTGATTAAAGGAGCCCTGGTGGCACAGTGCTTAAGCACTTGGCTGCTAACCGAGATCGGAAGTTCAAACCCACGAGCCCGTCTGTGGGAGAAATATGTGGCAGTTTGTTTTTGTAAAGATTACAGCCTTGGAAACCCTACAGGGCAATTCTACTCTGTCTTATAGGGTCACTATAAGTCGGAATTGATTCGACAGCAATGGGTGGGTGTGATTAACACAATTCCATACCTGAAAAGAGGCACTATTTCCTTAATGTCCTTCAGTTTCTTTACTTCCTCATCTCGAGCAGGTGCACACAGTGTCCCCATCATGCCAATAATGAATTCTGCCAGCTTGGAAATGTCCAGGGCCCCATTTTCTGCTTCCTGCTTGATCAAGTCCAGATCCAAGACTTCTGTTATCTGGTTTCTCAGTCTAGTGTGACCGGGCAGCAAGAAAGATAAGAGTGTCTGCAAGAGAGCATAACTAAATTTAATCAGTTTCTTAGTCAGACATCATTTTTCATTATATATAAAGGACTTTACAGCTACCCAAACAAGGGCTTAACAATTGCGAATGCAGTGTTGTACATATTTTAATCTCATGTTCTGCAAGTCCACAGAAAAACAGATGTTTACAAATCATTTAGAACAGCTATTTAAGCTACCTTCTATTTAAGCTCTAAGTAGCAATCAACTGGATACAAAACGAATAAATTGTTAAAGGTGACAAGTGCAAAACACATTTATTAAGTGTGAGCCTGTGAGCCAACCACAGATGCCATTTCCATGGAGACATATCTTGTTCGAATACTACTAGTAAAACCATTGCAAAAAGTCCATCCTTCCACCAAACGTTTCATTTATCTCTCAGACTAAATAACTTAAAGCCATTGTAAACTGAATGTGTCCATACCTGTTATATGCTATAAATAATTTATAAATCACCTAGACTTTGTACAATAACTTTTATTTTATTTGAATAATTCTGTTCTTTTTTTCATTTACAAGGATAATGCCTTCAGGTTATCATGGCTTGCTTAAAATAAAGAAGGAAAAAAAAAAAATAGCAAGGTCCAAAAGGCATTAAGCCAAAAATACTCTTATATTCATATTTCCAAATAATTTGACTTCTTGATTCTTTAATTTTTCTTAAAGTCTTCTGGCACAGTAACACAGAGAGGTTGAGTAAATACTCTTAACACACCAGAAAAGCATCATTATTTGCTCTGATAAAGAACTCACCTGTTTGATCTCTCCTACCAGTTTGATGGCATGGTCATATGTTGGGGGGTCTTCACTTAGCTGGGTACTCAAACAATCCCAAAAAGCTTTATGTACAATATCCTTTACTCTCTTCTCCAAGCTGCAGGCACATGAAAAAAAAAAGGCAACAGACAAAATACTTGAACCTCAAACCACTTTCAAAAGCACAAATTCCATGGGTTTAAGGGTTAGAAATTTTAAAAATAATTTGAATCAAGGAAAGATTTCTCACACATACTTAAATCAATGATATACTTTATTTTTAGTGGTTTTTTTTCTTTTCCAATAATTACCTCATTGAAAAGGATAACTTTCAACTAATCTGAAAGCAGCCATTAGTGCCATTCGCAGTATGTAACTATTATTTTATTGTGACTTAGCAGTGTCACAATAAAAACACTGGAAAATTCAAAACTGTTTTTCAGTCCCCTGATACTAGCAAGTTGCCTAAGATATTTATGATTAAGTAGTTTATGGTAACAATTCAGCATGTATACAGGCTGAAGAACTTTATTTCCTAAAAATAGCCTACACATATATGATATTGGGATGACTGCTTAACCAGGTACCAAACTGTAACAAGTTACATATAACATCTTATTAAAACGAATCTTTTTGTAATGAGAGCAAAACAAGTAATTCTTCATTGCTAATGTGAAAAAGCAAGTACTATGTATATAGACATACATGAAACGTCTGTAAAGTCATATTTAGAAGCCTCCTCAGGGAGCAACTATAGCTTGCCAACTCAGCAGTCATTCCTCCTTTTTCTTTGCTAACAAAACCTCAATGTTTTTCAGGGTAGCAAAATGCCCTGCTTCTGAGAATTCCAACCCATTACTATCGAGTTGATTCCGACCCATAGCAACCCTACAGGACAAAGCAGAACTGCTTCATGGGGTTTCCAAGGAGCAGCTGGTGGAGATGAACTGCCAACCTTTTGGTAAACAGCCGAGCTCTTGACCACTGCACCACCAGGGCTCTGCTCCTGAGAATATACCATGATTAATCTAAGCCCATCAAGGCAGTTCTGTTCCCTTTTGAGAGAGTCAAGCTTTCCCAGGCTTGAATCTTACAGCTGGGGTAGCACGTGACCAAGTTCTAACTAAAAAAAACATTAGAAGTCTGCTGTGTAACTTCTGAGAAAGATGTTTCCCTCTAATAAAAAGAGAGCCCCGCTCATCCACCCTTTTCCTTCTTGCCTAGAATGCTGGTGTATGATGGGATGTTCAAAGCTGCAGCAATTTTGCAACCATGAGGAAAAGCACAAGCAAATCACAGATGTACCATCCCAGAGTCCTGCCATCAGTGAACTGCTGAAAGAACGGCATCTATACCCATATTTTGTTGTTTATAAAATAAACCCTTTCACCCTACATTTTAACGTCTCTGAAACTTAGATCTTTCTTAAAATTGATGGCAGTTTTACAGTTTTAATGGGTAGTGTTTTTTTCCTTTATTGTGACAATACATTTTAAAAAGATGTCCCTTACAATCAATGGAGTTTTAGATTCAATGAAATATAATATGTGCCAGACACCACGGATGCAGAGAATAATGCACAGTCCTTGCCTTCATGGAGTTTACAATCTGGTGAAGACAGCACGTAAACCAACAACTACAGTACAAAGAAACATATGAAATGACACAAGAAAACACAAAATGAGGCAGTTAAATCATAGAGCAGGAAGAAGATGTCAAAAAAGACTTCCAGAGGAGATTTCTGGACCTTTTACTTGCATTTTGAAGGATCAGTGTTCCTGAGATCTACCTTCACAATCTAGTAATTCCTAGTATATGAGAATTTTTTAGTAATAATGTTCAAAAGGAAAAATATGTTTGAATATACTGGCATTAACTGAAAGAAACATCTCCAGACCAGGAAATGACAGTGTTCTTCTATGTAACGAGACAACTCCATTAACCACTTTACCTGTCTTCTGGTAATTCAACTGGTTTAATCCGAAATTCTCCATTTACTGCGATTTCATGGGCTAGAGCCATGTTAGTGACTCCTTTTGCTGTCTCCAGGAGCTCTTCTACTGTCACAAATCGAGGAGGACTAGCTGTAACAAAACCCAGTGTAAGACATTTGCTTCTCTATATTAGAATCTCTATTAAAGAGAAGGGAATGATTCTGGTACCAGCCAATCATTTCAGTTATGCCTCTGTTCATTAAAATGCTTTGGCAATTTCAAACAACAATAATAGCATTTATCTATTTCATACTTATTTTTTCTTTTAACCTAGGATCCTAAAAGCAGAAGTTAATTTACAATACTCAAACATCTGGTTTTTCCTAAGACTAGTCAATGGAAAATGATTACAGTAAATTGGGGCTTGAAAATTTTTTTAAGTTGCAGACTATCATTTTCCCAATAAACTGAGAGTTCATTTTTTAATCCCTTTGCCTCCAGTCTACCCTAAAATAAAAAAAGAGGCACTAGATTCTCAAATCTTCTCTTTTGTCCCCACCAGCAGTTTCTATTTTATACCATCACTAACACTGTCCTATGAATTAATCTCCCCAAATTAAAATAGCATGGAGTTACTTCAGGGCATCAGGTGCTGCTTAAACTATGCTAAACCCAATACCCTACACAGCCTACTAAGGAAGAATATGAGAGTTCTGAACTGACCACTGAACAGAGCAGAAAGCATGACATGAGTCAAAATCTTTAGAGTTACCTTTGATTTCTCCCTTTTCACTGCCCACCTATCCAAGTCCTGTGTATTTTACTTCTGTGTTCAACTGTTTCATAATTAGTCTCCATATTTTTCTCTTTTGATAAGGCTCTTACATAAAAACCTCCCGCATGTAAATCTCCCCAGGTGTTCTGATCCAAGGAACAAAGGGTAATTTTTATTCTTAAAAAGTCTATGATATTGGTTCTCAAACTTTAGCCTGTATCAAAATCAGGGAGGGGTTCTTAGATTGCTGGACCCAATTCTCAGGACTTCTGATTTACCTGGTCTGGGCGGAGCCCAAGAATTTGCATTTCTAACAAATCTCCACCTGATGTTGATGCTGTTGGTCCCAGAGACCATGCTTTGAGAAGCACTAGTCTATAAGATGGCTATTCTAATTGTAAGTGATGATGGTAATATCTGGGTATAAAATGAGAGAAGTAATGTCACTCTCTGGTTTGCACAGGGTTTAACAGTTATAAAGATAACTGATCTTCTTATGTTAGTGAAAAGTTATTTTCCTTCTTTTATCCTTTCTCTTCACTCACCCAAAAAAAAAAAAAAGAACCAAATCTAAGAGCTGGTCATACCCTGTCTGGTAAAAATCTTTATTTGGTCAATGTTATGGATTGAATTATGTCCCCCAAAAATACATGTTGTAAATCCTAACCTCTATGCCTGTGGTTATAATCCCATTTGGGAATGGTTTACCTTTGTTATGTTAATGAGGCAGGATCAGTGTAGAGTGTATCTTCAGTCAATCTCTTTTGAGATACAGAAGAGATTAAACAAGCAAGCTAAGCAGAGACGGGGAAAGAAAGATGCCAAGCAACATGAAGACTGCCCAGAAGCAGAAGCTCAAAGAGACAAGAACCTTCCTCCAGGGCCAACAGAGAGAGAAAGCCTTCCCCTAGAGCCGTCACCCTGAATTTGGACTTCTATCCTCCAAAACTGAGAGAAAATAAACTTCTGTTTGTTAAAGCTACCCACTTGTGGTATTTATGTTACAGCGGCACTAGATAACTAAGACAGTCACATAGAGGGAAGTTGGGAAAACATAAAATTCCTCCTCAAAAAATTCTTCTCACCATTTCCAGAGAATACTAATAAGAACACAAAATAAATAAAACTTGCTTAATAAATACTGGCAAAATATCCAAAATCAAAGTCCAGATATATCTTTTCAATTCTCAATATTGTTAAGATGTCAATTTTCCAAACTGATCTACAGATTAAATGCAACCCCAATCAAAATCCTAGCAGGCTTTTTTTGTTGAAATTGACAAACTGATTCTAAAATTTATATGGAAATGCAAAGGACCTAGAAAAGCTAAAAGAATTTTGAAAAAGAGCAAAGTTGAAGAATTTACACGAACTGATTTCAAGACTTATGTAAAGCTACAATAATAAGACTGTTTTTGGCATGAGAATAGATCAACTGAACAGAGCAAAAAATCCAAAAATCTATCCAGATTGACCTTTGACCTCACATGATAAACAAAAATTAATTCAAAAAAGTGAAACTATAAAACTTTCAGAATAAACAGATGAAAATCTTTGTCACTTTGGGTTAGGCAAAGATTTCTTGGATAGCATATAAAAAGTTCAAACCATAAAATAAAAAAAGTTGATAAACTGGATTTTTTATAAAATTTAAAACCTTTACTCTGTGAAAGATTCTCGCAGTGCAATTGATTACTTTTGTGTGTGGTCTTTCTAGACATGGTCTTGAAACTCTCACCTAGGTGACTGGGCAGGACTATGTGATAGAGTAATTGTGGCCCACCAAGGGGATTGGTCAATTTTCCCTTAAATGAGAGCCAATTCCAGAGCAGAGAGGAGGATCCTACCACCACCAAGGAAGAACAGCCAGGAACAGAGAACATGTTCTTTGGACCCGGGATCCCTGCGCTGAGGAGCTCCTGGAAGCAGGAGGCTGAGCAAGAGAGCAAGCTGTAACCCTGAAGACAGTGAGAAGCAGTGGCAGGAGAGACCTGGCAGCAGAAGACAGGGTGGTGGACTTCCCCGCACATGGAGGGGGAAAGCTGAGTGCCTTTGGGTAGAGGCCTAGGGCCAGGGAAAGGTGTGCCCTTGAGCACGGCTGGGAAGAGGCTGTCCTGATAAAAGAACTGTATCCCAAGTGTTCCTGAGCCTGAATTGTAATTGTTACTTCCCTAATAAACCCCATAATCGTGAGTATGGTTTGTGAGTTCTGTGTGATCACTGCAATGAATTATCGAACCCAGCAGAGAAGTAGAGAGTGCTCTGCGAGGGGCGGTTGGTGTCAGAATTGGTAAAGATGGAGGAGAGAGGAAGCTTGTCAGGTCTCTGCCTCATGAGTGCCAGCCTTGCGCTGCTGATCTTGGTTCTCCTTTCAAACCCTTGTGAAGTTAAAGGTCAGACACCACCCCCAAGCTGTTTTTACAATTCTATTAAGAAAATGAAAGGCAATACACAGGAGAAAATATTTGTAAAACATATATCTGATAAAGGGTTTGTATCTAGAATATATAAAGAACTCTCACAACCCAGTAACAGAAGACAAACCACCCACTAAAAAATGGGATAAGATTCTAAAGGACATTTGTCCAAAGAAGATATACAAATGGCCAATGACTAACAAATGCAAAATCATAGATGAATCTCAAAAGCATTATCTCAAGTGAAAGAAGCTAGACACAAAAGACCACATACAGTATGATTCTATTTATGTGAAATTATACAAAAAGCAAAATTATAGTGAGAGAAAGCAGATCAGTAGTTGCCAAGGGCTGAAGAAGGGGGAAAAAATTCACTGCCAAGGGGCACAAGAGAATTTTGGGGGTGATGGAAATGGTCTAGTTCATGATTGTGGTGGTAGTCACATAACTGTAAATGTATTCGTCAAAACTCATCATATTGTACACTTACAATTGGTGGATTTTGTTATATATAAATTATACCTTAATAAAGTTGATTTTAAAAGTCTAAGTTACTCAGTAGTTTAGTATATACATATACATGTAATGACTATTAAAATTCTTCAAGACAGTATATTCTGGTACCATTTATCAGAAAATGGAACTTCCACTGTAGATATATCAAGCATCAGGAGTTATTAAACTCCATCAAGTTCTTATCTTTTAAAAAGAAATTAGAGGCTGTCACCCCTTGTAAATATGGTGTAGTGGGGGCATCTGACTGCCTCTACTTCACAAGACTTAAGGAGAAATAATCATTATCAGCATCAACAGCCTAAGGCTGATTCCTATGAGGCAGAGGTCAGACATACCTCCTCTGTCCAACCTTTCTTCCACTTCTGACACTTCAGTCCCTCCCATGGCACTCTCTACTTCTCTGCTAGGTTCAATAATTTGTTACAATGGCCACATAAAACTCAGATCACACTCATAGTTACGGGGTTTATTAGGGAAGGAACAGGTTACAATTTAGGATCAGGAATGACTCAGGATACAGTTCTTGATCAAACACAGTGTCCTCTCAGCCATGCCCACAAGTAGGCCTCTTTCTGGCCGTGGGCCCCAACTGTTACAAAGCTCTTTAGATCTGCCAATAAGTGCTCGAGGGCACCCCGCTCTGCCAGCAAGCCTTGGCCTAAGGGTGCCTAGCTGACAAGTGCCTGGAGGCATCTCACTCCACTAAGAAGCCTCCTGCCCAAAGGCACTCAGCTCTCTCACTCAGTGGGTCAGCACACCCACTGTAAATGCCTTACTCCGTGGGCCCAGAAGCTTACTGTGCTATCTTGCACTGGTCTCCTGGTTCTCTCCATCTTGCACCATCTCCAGTGTTACAGCTCTTTCTGTCTCCTGAGTCTAGGAAGTTCTCTGTACAGGGATCTTAGGTACACAGGACATGCTTTGCTCCCATCTCTTCTTGATGGCAGTGAGGTCCTCCTTGTCTGCCTCTGGAATGGCTCATTTTAAGCCTAGAGGGTTGGCAAAACTGACCAATCCCCTCATTAGGGGTCCATATACCTTATTTGTATGGTCCCACCCCCAAAAGGGTGCCATGCACTTTATCTGCATTATTAGCAAACTATCCAACCTCCTTGGTGGGCCACAAGCACTTCATTTTCATAGTCCCACCCAGTCATTTGGTGAGAGTCACAGGATCACGGTGAAAAAGGCCAATTAAAAGTGATTCATCGCACTGCAGGCCATTCCTTGGCTTTTCTAGCCCTGGTTCTTTCATATTTGGAAGATAACTTCCCCCTCCAATCATTTTACTAGTCCAAAACAGTCATTAACAATTAGTCCTTCAGTAGGGCAAAGAGTCCTCAGGGTGAGGTTACTCAGGTACCAGCCATTCAGGTTTGCTGCAGGTATCTATCTGATCTGGTCAGGTTCTCCAAAAGTAATCTTGGCTTCACCCTTCCTGGCCTCTGATAAAATTTAACTGAGAGAAGAGTGTTCCCTTGCTCTAAGCCTCACAAGGCATCAGCATAGCAAAACCTTTAAGGGATTTTATGTTTGATCACTGCACTCCAGTCCAGCAGTGCCTTCCTTAGTCTACTCTTTCACAGTTACTGCTTCTACAATTAGTTTTTATAATCACAATTAACTGTTAACAATCATTACTCACAGCTAAACCCAGTAATTGTATCAGCATCTTCCCCCACCCTCTCTTTCCCAGACCCATTAGGAAAACAGGAAACTACTTAGTGGGGATCCTCCCTTGTCCTCCTCATTTTGAGTGTAAGGACACCCACAAAAACATGTAAGTTAGCCACTTCATACCTTTATCTCCCCCCATTCTAGATACCCAATGTTTAAACTGTCCATCCTGATCAAACCAGTACTCTGAGGAGACAAGCATGTTCCTTGGTCTGAGGAATCTTCTGTTCCAGTTGGAACTTTGAGCATCTTTATCCATAAGCAAAGTCCAGTCCATAGCAAGTCATCAAATTGCAGCAATTACACCAGCTCATGGTGTCAAACATCTCTCTCTTTTCATTCGGTCAGATTCTGGTCAGCTCATTCCTAGCCCCTGTGGGCTCAATCAACAAGCACTACCCATAGGCTCAGGAGTCCACACAGCTCCCCGCACTTCAGACCAGGCAGCCCCTTCTTTCTCATCCCCAGCCCCCATGGGCTAGGTCAACAGGTGCCAAGAGAACATGTCCAAACTCAGCCCATCTCTTTATTGCTGTGCCTCCCCCACTTCCACTCATCGAGTGGACCCAGGTGATCACCACAAGCAAGTATACAGGACTGACTACTTGCCAGCTCCCTTTAACTTCCAGTCCTAGAAGGGGGTTCTTCTGATGAGCACTGACTTTTCCTGACTCGATGCATCCAACAGCAAAACCTCTTGCTCGAAATTCAAAAAGCAAAACAATCATTTTTTTCCGTAGGTCCTTCTTTCAAATGCAAATTTCCTGCTTTCTCAGCAGTTATGGGTGGGTCTGCATGTCTTATCAAATACAAATTTCCTGACTGCAAAGATTCTGCGAGGGGCTCAGGTTTTCAACCTGTTGATATTGTTATGTGCCTCCAGTCAGTTCCAACTCACAGACACCCTACGTACTAAAAAAAACCCCAAACCTACCGCCATCAAGCAGACTCTGACTCATAGCGACCCCACAGGACAGAGCAGAACTGCCCCATAGGGTTTTCAAGGAGTGGCTGGTAGATTCAGGTTGCCAGCCTTTTGGTTAGCAGCCGAGCTCTTAACCACTGCACCACCGCGGCTCCACCCTATATACAACAGAGTGAAACATAGCCCTGTCCTGCGCCATCCTCAAAATTATTGCTGTTTGAGCTCAGTGTTGCAGCCACTGTGTCAATCCATCTCGTTGAGGGTCTTCCCATTTTTCACTAACCCTCTACATTACCAAGCATGATGTCCTTCTCCAGGGACTGGTCCCTCCTGATACTATGACCAAAGTACATGAGACAAAGTCTCACCATCCTCTCTTCCAAGGAGCACTCTGGCTGTACTTCTTCCAAGACAGATTCGTTCATTCTTCTGGCAGTCCATGGGATATTCAAAATTCTTCGCCAACACCATAATTCAAAGGCATTAGTTCTTCTTTGGTCTTCCTTATTCACTGTCCAGCTTTCACATGTATATGAGGTGATCTGCTCCAGTAAAGATTACAACCTAGAAAACCCTATGGGGCAGTTCTACTCTGTCACACGGGGTTGCTATGAGTTAAAATCGACAAGACAGCACCTAACAACAACAATACAATGATGCAGAGGTCCCTAGGTGGCACAAATGGTTTGTGCTCAACTGGTAAACCCAAAGGTTGGCAGTTTAAACCCATCCAGTGGTATCACGGAAGAAAATGCCTGGCAACCAGCTTCTGTAAATATTATAGCCAAAAACCCTATGGAGTAGTTCTACTCTGTAACACATGGCATTGCCATGAGTTGGAATCGACTTGATGGCAACCAACAACAACAACATAGCGATATAACTTAGTGAACAACATGGCAGACTTCACCTCAACTTTTGAAGAGAATCTGAGTTGTAATAAGAGCCATAAAAAAGCAGTAAGGTTACATATATTTTACCCTGGAGTTTATTTTACTATGCTATATAAAGCTAAAACTGTTACTACATCGTTACAGTGTTTGTGCACTAATGCCCTGTTAGAGAAAATGAAAACCACATTAAGTTAAACATGTCCTTTGGGAGGCTGACAAACAGATTTTCTTTATTTTAAAGATGAGAAAACAGAAGCTAAGCAAACATACTGGAGACAAGCCTAACATGTACATTATGTTATAACATATGTTATTAACAGCATGTTTCCACAGATACAATTTGACCTTGTAGTGTACTTATCAAAATCTGTGTGATAATACACCATGATAAAATGGGGTCTACTAATGTTTGCTAAAAGAATGCTATATTGGTTAATAAACTACTTGGGAAGCGCTCTGATCATTTAGAAGAAACACACTCAAAACCCAAAAATGTTTGCACTGCTTCCAAATATGTAGAATTACTGATCATCTACACTTTAAAGAGATAATATCAATACTGACATTTTTAGACTATGAAACTCCCTCTTAAAACTTTCATTTCTGGACTCATTTCAAAAGGCTTAAGTATTCTTAATAAAAGATATGAGCCGGGGCAACTGCTGGGGAGATGCATAGAAACTGCCACCCTTTCATCTCCTAGGCTTGCTCCCTGCCAGGGCTCTGAAATGACTTCACTACACTACATACATTCTGCAAACTGAATCTCCTCAACCTCATGGGAACTAAGCCCTCACGTAGTGAAGTCAGGGTGTGGTGAACTCACTCACATTCAAAAATCATTATTTTTTTCACCTGCACAAGTACTGTCCTGGCTGGAACAGGCCTCAGACTTTTCAAACACTCTTTTAATTAAAGCTTCAATTTGCATTCCACTGTCCAATTTCTCAGAGCACTTCACAGAGACTGGAATGTCAGCAAAGGAGAAAGACAAGAACATCTGGGACATTATTCTAAATTTTAATTTCTCATGCAATTGAACCTGCAAGTGGCTAGGCTGCCAGCCTAGAAACTATTGCTATTTTAAATGCTAATTATTGTCAATGTTATCATATTATTAGAACCTAGCTCAGGGCCACAAGAACAAGGAAGCCTAGTAAAAATATCATCTGAAAACAGTGATAATGCTTTCTTTTAACCAAAGTCAAACTTGCTTACAGTGAGGTCTTTGCACTCTTTGGGGGCTAGGAGAGCCCGGCTTTATTCTTTTCTCTAAAGCTTCATCAGAACCTTCCACAGCTCCTCCGAGGTCTTGCTCAGAATCATTTGATTTTCCTGCTTCATTTATGTTAGACTGGTCAAGGTTTTCAGACATTCTTAATTAAGTTTATTCACTGTCCTAGGAAAGGAAAAAAAAAAAGCAATGAACCAAAAGTGTTTCAATTCTTTCACCAACTAGCAGTGTGACCTTGGGCATATCATTTAATCTCTTTGGGTTTCAGTTTTCACATCTGTAAAATAAACCGTCTTGCTAAGATCTTAGCCAGTATAAGATTCTACTTCAATGATTAAATAGGTACTTGTGAAATGACACTTGAAATTATCAAATTTATGGACTTGTATCTCAGACAGGAGCCCTGGTGGCACAGTGGTGAAGTGCTCAGCTGCTAACCGAAAGGTTGGAGGTTTGAACCCACCAGCTGCTCCATGGGAAAAAGACATGACAGTCTGTTTCCGTAAAGATTTACAGTGTTGGAAACCATGTACGTAGATCTACTCTGTCCTAGAGGGTTGCTAAGAGTTGGAATCAACGCGATGGCAATGGATTTGGTTTGTTTTTTTTTTTTGGTACCTCAGATAAACCAAACAAAAAACCCATTACCATCGACTCAATTCCAACTCATAGCAACCCTCTAGGACAGCGTGGAACTGTCCCATAGGGTTTCCAAGGAGCAGCTGGTGGATTCGAACTGTCAACCTTTTGGTTTGCAGCCGAGCTCTTAACCACTGCACCACCAGGGCTTGGTAGCTCAGATAGAGAGTGAATGTTCTTGTCCCACTCCTGAGTCTCATGTCACAAGAACACAGGGCCTTAGACTACTATAACACTGTAAACTGTCTCCTTCTATTTTAATCAAAGATAGTGATTAAAGCTTAAATTTTTTACTTTCATTCCCAAGAGCTGGTAGGAAAACTTCTTGGAAACAATGCCTTTAATCAGGCATTCAAGTGAATACACTATGCCGAGGAGTTGATTCCCTGATCCTATCATGTGGATAAGATACCTAGGGATGACAGACAGGATGTAGTATCTTATGAACCATGTGTTCAACAGGAATTTGTGGGGCAGATGCTTTTACTACTTCCTTGCTACTCAGCAGGAAAAGATGCTGAGTAAAACAGGAAGCTGCAAACAACCAAAATGTATGTGGTTGGATACGATTTTATTTTTTTTATAGTTGATATTATCAGTTACCAGCTGCCTTCGAGTCAATACTGATTCATGGCTATCCTATGTGTGTCAGAGTAGAATTTTGCTCCATAGGGTTTTCAATGGCTGATTTTTTTTGGAAATAGATTGTCAGGTCTTTCTTCTTAGGTACCTCAGGCGGACTCGAATCTCCAACCTGATGGCACTCATTAGTAGCTGAGCGCATTAATCAATTGTACCACCCAGGGACTCTAGTTGCTGATTAGAACAGGAATAACACTTGATATTTTGGTACGGGCCAGTTAATAAAGTCCTGGAATAGTAGCCTTTCTTACTTACTGTAAAAAATTGTCAGCTTTTTTTCAATTTTTTCCTCCTAGGTTTCTCTATTACTATGGTGTTTCTAATTAAGTGGGAAGAAAGACACAATGTTCTTGCATTTACAATACTGAAAATAATCAGCATTTCTACTGTTAGCACTCAAAGATCACAAAACATTTTCATAAACACTAATTAGGCTTTATTACATACCTGGAAGGTAATCCAGGGATCAAAAGAAATGTCAACTGCTTTAAGGTTTGGCAGAGTCTCTTCTGCACATTAGAGAAAGAAGAAATCACTTGACATAATTATCTGAAATCTCAGACCACCATTAAATGGAATGAAGTTGTTAGAATTTAAATTTTCAGATCATATTATTAATATGAAGGATGCTTTAATGTATTTCCCCTTTCCAGTCCCACTTTAAACAGCACCTTCCAACACCTACTCCAGACACCCATCTTCTCTCTCTCCTAAATCCTATTAGCCTCTGAAAATGCTCCAAAATCCAAAAGACAACATTACTAGCATATTCTATGAAAAAGGAAAAACAAAAACATTTCTAATTTTATCGCCTTCACATGCTAAGAATGAGCCCAGAAAAGATGAAGTAACTCATTCTGTGCAGGGGGAAGAAAGGCAGGCATCTCCAGGTCTCCAATACTTGGCTTAGTAAATTAACCCCATCCTTTCAAGATTCAGCTCAAGTCCCACGTTCTGCTATGACACTTCCCCAACCTCATCAGTGTTTACTCTTTTCTCTGAAGTCCTGTAGGGCTGGTTGCTAGACAATTGGCATTCATCACTGCCTTAAATTCAATTTAAAATATGCTTATCTAAATAGGGATAGAAAGATGAAAAGACATTGCCTAGAGGGGGAGACAGATGTACTTTAAAAAGTAGCTATAATGTAACTTAAGCCTTAGTGGTATTATGAAATTACTAAAGGAATATAGCTGAGAGATAAACTAATTCTGCCTGGGAGGAGGCTGGGAAAAGCTTCCCAGAAAAGGTGACATTTGAGCTGGTCCTTGACAGGAGCAGTAGGATTTCACGCAATTAAAAAATGTCTGGGGAGGAGGGGAGATGAAAAGAAAAAGGGCATCCACTCAGAGGACATGAGCTCAAAAGCACAAGAAAATGTGTAAAAGTAGAGTAGTAAGTGGTAAGTGACGAAGTTGGAAAGATAGGTTGGGGGCCAGATCATAAAATTACTAGTTTGTTGTCCTTCTTTTTCTCTCTCTCTCTTTTTAACTCTTCACTTAGATTTTGAACTTCTTAAGGGGCAGGATCAACCATATTCCCTGCATAATGCTCCATAAGTATATGACCCAACCACTGCTTTGTTGATAAAGATGAACCCCTATCATCCCAATGATCTCAGTGTATTTGGGAGGATGGGCATTGATCTCAGACATATCTGGGTCCCAATATTGGCCCTTTACTAGCTCTGTAACTTCAGTTTCCTCATCTGTAAAATGAGCTACCTACTTCCTCGGTTTGGGGAAGATCAGATGAGTGTGCATAACAGTGACCGGTATGTAACAGCCTTTCCTTTCCACAAATGATAAGCTAACTACAGGGCTACAGGATTCTGCGTGGAACCATTTAACTGCTTACAGCGTGCTCACTCATTCAACAACACCAACCCCTAACACAACAACAAAAAATCCACTGCTGTCGAGTCCATTCCGACTCAAAGCGACCCTACATGACAAAGCAGAATTGCCCCATAGAGTTTCCAAGGCTGTAAATCTTTACGGAAGCAGACTGCCACATCTTTCTTCCGTGGAGAGGCTGGTGGGTTTGAACTGCTGACCTTCGGTTAGCAGCTGAACACTAGCACTTTAACTACTGCGCCACCAGGGCTCCTGGTACAGTGTCTAAAAAGGGAACGGAGGGTAAGAGGAGCCTCACACTTGCCATGGGTTCGTCTTCTATCCGAATTGCACGCCGGGCCTTAGCTGGACACAAGAGACTCCCCAGGAGAAAGGGCCTTTCAGCAAAGGCCGACGCCGGGAATCACTTCCTTTGGCACTCGGTGTCACTTATCTCACTGTCCGTATTCCGCTGTAAACAACTGTTGGGCCTGATGAGGGAGTGGCAGGGCCGAGAGCAAGCAAAGGAGCGGGGCGCGCCTAGAGGACGGCCTTGAGGGGTGGGACAAAGGCTGCCCAAGCCTCAACCCGCCCGCCGTCCCTGCCTCTTCCTCTTCTCCACCCCGACATCACCCAGGTCCAACCCATCGGGAAAAGCCGAACACGTGCCTGTGATTTCGACCTCGACTCTCCGGCGCGGGCCCAGCAGAGCTGCCGGCCTCCGCGCCTGCTTCTCTCACCTGCTGTGGAGCCGGCGTTCTCCCTCTTACAGTTCCCGCCGTGACTCAGGCGATGGCCAGAGCGGCGGCGGAGGCGGGGAGCGATGCGCGGCGGGCCGGGGCGGTTCAGTTCTGTTCCTCCAAGGCTTCATCGCTCGCCGCGCTGCCGGCGCTCCACCTCTACCGACTCTGGTGTGCCAGGGCTAGAAGGGCCGCTCCTCAGCGTCGGGAAGTGGGAGGCCGCTCAGAGCTGGGCGGTGCCCGCCCGACACAGGACGGCGCCATTTTACTGTACGGAAAGGCGGGAGGCGCGGCCCAGTGCCTGCTGAGGGAACGCAACAGGCAGGCGGCCCGGAGCCGAGAGCAGTCTGTCCCACTCTGGGAGGCGCCATGTTTCCGTACGGAAAGGTGGGAGGAGCAGCTAGGTGCCTGACAAGGGGTGCAGCGGTCAGAACCCGCAAAGACCGAGGAACGTGAGACAGAGAAAGCGTGTGAAGGAAAAAGAAAGGCCTTTGGGAGCAACCGTGTTCAGAGCCATACTCGCCTGGGTTTTAAAATTTAAGTATTCATACTTTGTAGCTACACTAGCAGCATATTCCTTGGTCCCAGATGGTGGATGCCGTGACTGTCTAGTTGCTGCTTCAAGAAAACCATGCCTTTCTCAGCCGATAGCAGTAGGATAGCCAACTAACTACACAAATAGAAACAGTTTGTGTTTGTGCCTTGTCTTAAAAAATAAAAGGTATGTGAATCTTATTATGTATAAAAATGCTTTAAAACTTAGCATAAATGATGTATGCCTTCGACAAAATGAAGATAATAATCCAGTCTCCTTAATACTTGTTAAATTTAAATAACTAGAACAAAACAAGATGCAGTGGAATTAGTGCTTTCAAACACTACTTCTAAGTAGATCACATGTAAGCAATTATTCCTAAAGTATTGAAGGCTGTGTGCAATACAGCACCCTCAAACCATTCACTAACTAGCATATTAACATATTTTTTCCTTTAAAGAAATAAAAAAGTTCTCATTTTAGGAGAAAAAGAATTCTTAAGATAACTGCAACTGTTAAGATTCATGAGGAAACCATTCAGTTCTCACTTGAGTCCAGACTAATGTACAATAAAATGGTTGTCAACCCTGACTACACTCCTGGTGGTAAGAGTTCTAAAATTACCATACCAAAACTCTGCGGTAATGCCAGGCAAGGATTTTTAAAAGCTTCCCAGGTGATTCTGTGTGTAACGGGGCTAGAACCACTTCTCTAGCAAGATTTAACCCGCACCCCCAAGTGAGAGTCCCCTCTTTCCTTGAAGGAGTAATCAATTTTCACTTGTGGAGGCAATACCAAAACTAATTCTAATATGATTTGGAATCGTTTACCGTTTATCTTTAGATATATTTGAATTGTTTCCTTTAAGTATTAAAACGTTGACACATGTTCCAGTTTGATCTTTGGCTGCAACGACTGGAAACTCAAATTACCTCAGGGCAAAGGGAGTTACTGCAAGGCTACACAGGATTTGGAAAGAGAAAGTGGGCAGCTGCTATAGAGATGAGCTACTACTCTATCACCTCCCTAGGCCACAGAGGATCTCGCCACATCTCTGCTTTTTGCTGCAGTCTACTCCTCTTTTTTCTCTACACTACAGTGGGGTAAAGGGGTCAACTTTATCCAAAGAATTTGGGCTTTTGTCCTTGGTTCCTGAGAGACAACCTCTAAAACCTTAATATCTTTGATGAGACCTCCAGACCACACTCAAGAGTTTATGCTGGCCTAGCCAGGCCAGAAAGACCATCTTGTGATGGGGGGAGGGGGAAACGGGGACATGAAAGCTTTCTTTTTGGGAACCCTCCCAGAACTCTCCTTATGTGTCTTCATTTGTGTCCTTTTTCCTGTAATTGTAATTTTAAGTATAGTGCTTTCCATGAGTCCTGTGAAGTTCTAGCACATTATTGAACTCAAGGGAGCAGTGGGAGCTAACAGGTCAGATGTGAGGGGGGTCCTGGGGGCCCCTGAGCTTATAGCTGGTATCCTGTTAGAGGGAACCCCCAAGTTTGTAGCCAGCAGAAGTAAGGGTGTCGTGGGGCAGTCCCAAGCTTGCAGCTGGTGTCTGAGGTCTTGGGCAGACTTGGCAGTCTGGAGGATTGTGCCCTTGTGAGGTCTGACCTAGTTCCGGGTGGTTAGGGTCAGAGGAGGAAGTGCTGCAAGGGCAGCCCGTGTCGGAACAGAAGTGGAACAGAAATACTAACAGATTGCATTGATTTGATCAACAGTTTGGTATCAGAAGTGGAATTTTGATCTTTTCCAAGCAACTAGACTGGTTTCTCTATTTTCTCAGTTGTTACTCCCTCATCACTTAATTTGTCGTTAGGTACCATCAAGTCAGTTCCAACTCATAGTGACACTACGTACAACAGAAGGAAACATTGCTCAATCCTGCACCATCCTCACATTCTCACTGAGGGTCTTCCTCTTTTTCATCATTTAATTTACCTATATAAAATTTGATTGGCCAAGCTGATTTTTTGTGCACAGTCAGTCTCATTAGCCTACAGGTAGGCTACCCTTGGATCAGGTGCTCAGCCCTGGTCTACTCAGCTTGGTGGTGGAGCCTGACAGTCGTCTAGGCATCAGAAGTATAAATGGGGAAGGTCTCCCAGAGGGCATCATTGATGAATGAATGAGCCATAGCAGTGATTAACAGTTCTAGACTGACACAAGAGTGTTGCTCATGGCATTAAGGGTAGCGCTGGACCAACAGTTTAAAACTTGGACAATGCTTGCAGTGAACATGACCAACTTTTCTTAAAACTTTATCCTATTCTTGCTTATGCAGTTTGAGGTAAACTGATTTTTGTTTTTGTTTTCTTCACACAGAGGTATAATCCATAGTGAAGGCTGTAGTCTTTAACAACTGCAATTTATGGACTTTATTTGGATCCTTATTGAACAAATTGTCAAAATTGTAACATTTGAACATTTACTGCATATTTGATATTAAGGAACTGTGGGTTTGTATGTGATAATATGGTTATGTTTTTAACGTCCTTAGCCTTTAGCAATACATACTGAAATTTTACAGATCAAGTTGTATGTCTGAAATTTGCTGGCATGGGGGTAAGGAATGGGTGGGGGTATAGACAACACAAAATTGGCCATGAGTTGACAATTGTTGAAACTATGAGTACACGGAAGTTTATTATTCCATTATCTCTACTTATATATGCTTGACATTTTCCATAGCAAGCTTAAAAAATGTTGAAGTTTTCAAAAGCATTAGGATAGTTGAGCTTATGATTTGTCTACAGTTTATGGAAATTAGAAAATTCATTTTTATTATAGCCTAAGTTTCTATCTTATATCTTTAAGGAGTACCTTTCAAAGGTACATACAAACCACACTCTTATTAACATGGAATCACAAACTTACTGTTTAATACTTTCTTATGTAAACGCTACAATGTCACATTATCTAATTCCTATGATGTTCTATAAAGTATCGTGCAGAATAATTCTAAATTAAGTAACCAAAGAGAGGTCAATGTTAACAGCAATACACCTGTGGTGCAATGGATCACTTTTGTGTGACCTTTCTCACCATGGTCTTATAACTCCCACCCAGGTGATTTGGTGGGACTGTGTAGATGAGTAACTGTGGCCTAACGAGGGGATTGGTCAGTTTTGCCATCACACTGGGCTTGAGGTGAGCCATCCCAGAGGCCAGAAAGAGACAGAATCCCACCACCACCAAGGAAGAAGAGCCAGCGCGTCTTTTAGACCTGGGATCCCTATGCTGAGAACCTCCTGGAACCAGGAGAATGAGAGACAGAGAGCTGTAACCATGAAGATGGCAAGAAGCAGTGGCAGGAGAGACCGGCAGGAGACTGCACAGTGGGCTTCCTGGCCCAACGGGCAAGAAAGCTGAGTGCCTTTGGGCAAAGGCTGACTTGATGGAAGAACTGTATCCTAAGTGTTCCTGAGCCTGAATTGTAACCTGTTACTTCCCTAAGAAACCCCATAATCGTGAGTATTACCTGTGAGTTGTGTGTGCCACTGCAATGAATTATCGAACCCAGCAGAGAAATACAGTGCTGTGGGAGGGACGGTTGGTGTCAGAATTGGTAAAGATGGCAGAGAGAGGAGGCATGTCTGACCTCCGTCTCATAGGAATCAGCCTTGGGCTGTTTGCTGATCTTGATTGTCCTTCACCCTGGTGAAGTTAGAGGTCAGACACGCCCCCACACTGTTTTTGCAATACCATCTGACTAAGATTCAGTTTCAGCCATACAAGCTTATAAAAAAAATTTTTATTAAGTACACTTTCATATTTAGAAGAACTTCCAGTCTTACAAATGTGAATGGATCTTTGGGATACATGATTTATTCTTAAAATACACAAGTTATATACAGACATTTAAAACTCAGGCTCCAAAATACTCAATAAAGATGTTTGGGTGACACTTATAGAACTGACCTAGCAGTTTTTTCTTCTCTTTAGCAGACAGTTTTGAATCCTCATCAATAGTTTTTAGTAAATTCAACAGCTCATCTTTGGTTGTCTTCTGTGTACTGTTGGCATAGTCACTTTGATCAATTCTCTGGCAATAAATATATCCTTAAAAGTTTAAAAGTAAAACGTTCAGTGAATGAATCTATTCCTCAGATTTAACTAGAAAAAAAAATCAAGCAATATTTTTATTTTTTTTTTTACTCCTCATTTTGTAAAATGCATTGAAGATGCTAAAAAAAACCTAAACTAAACCCGTTGCCGTTGCGTCGATTCTGACTCATAGCAACCCTGTAGGACAGAGTAGAACTGCCCATAGAGTTTCCAAGGAGCGGCTGGTGGATTCGAACTGCCGACCTTTTGGTTAGCAGCTATAGCTGTTAACCACTGTGCCACCAGAGCCCCAAGCACTAATTTCCTAACCCTGGTCAAGTTGCTTTTTGATATAGAAGGTTCTCTGCTAAGTCTGGTTAACTCTGAGGAGAATGTTTAGAGTTTAGGTTGAAATAAAAGTGCAACTATTTACAGCAAAACACTTTCAAATAAACACTAGCAATATATCATTGGAAGATCATGAAAATAATATTTCTCAGATTACCTGTTTCGTTGTTTGGATCTCTTCCCTCCTGTATAGCCATAAGCTTAACACTGACAATTTTATGTAGAGTTCCAGGAATCTTAAGAAAAAGA